AGGAGCATGTCACAGGCGAAGACGTAGGATTGGGTGATGGCAAAGTTGAAGGAGGACAGGAGACCGATCTGGAAATTATTGATTTTTTGAGGGAAATTTTTTTTTCGAAAAAAACATTTTTTTTTTGGAAATTTTTTTTTGGAATTTTTTTTTGCCACTTCGAAATTTTTTCAGTTTCTAGATACCGGAAAAATCATTTTCCGTCGAAAAACTATGAAAAAAACCGAAAAATTACGAAAAACGCCGTTTTTTTTTTCAAATTTGCGCGTAAAACGGCGGCCGTAAAAACACCTCTCCTGTGTAGTCTGCGAGGACAATTTTTGAAAAAAATTTAATTTTTTTCAACGGTATCTAGTGGGTGTTCCACCATTTTTTTTCGTAAAAAAAACGATTTTTTTCAATTTTTTGTTTCAAAAATTTCGGAACAAAAACAGTTTTTCGGTTCCGCTCGTGTAGTCTGCGAGGACAATTTTTTGCGAAAATTTGAATTTTTTTGATTTATTTCAAGGTTTTTAGCGCATTTTCACCTGTTTTTTTCCAGAAAAAATATTATTTTTTTTAGTTTCAAAAAACAACTATTTTCTGGTTTTTTCAAAACAAAAAATTCCGAAAAAAAAATTTTTTTGTTCCGCTCGTGTAGTCTGCGAGGACAATTTTTGAAAAATTTGATAGAAAAAAATTATGGGAAAATTGAAAAAAGTGCCGGTTTTCCGCTCAAAAAAAATCCTGAAAGAACATTTTTCGGGGTCATTTTTTGCCCAGCCGTGACAAGAATCTTCTAGACTTCATTGAAAATGTTTCCAGAAAAGAAAAAAAAAAGAAAAAAAATTCCACCCCTCGGGGGATCGAACCCTCGACCCGAATTTCCAAAACAAGAGCGCTAGCCACTACACCACTCTCTTCCCTCCCCCTCCCGCCGAAAGTGCGACAGGAGGGGGGAGGAGGGCATAGATATCGCGGCGGCGCCTCCCAAGCAACTGGTGTAGTGGTTAGCGCTCTTGTCTATCAAAATTAAGGGGTCAAGTTCGATTCCGAGTGGGGTGGAAATTTTTTGTTTTTTTCCTAACCACCCCTTAAGCACATTAGAGCGCATTTGCGTCCCCCAGAAGTCAGTTTTTCTGATTATCGATTGTTCTGATGACATTTGCTCTCCCCAAATCAACCGAAGAACTAACCTTATTCTCATAGCACTCGGAAATCTTCAAATAATCGGCAAACTTCGTCTCAAAATACCCTTCCACCGCCAGCAACTTTATCGATCGAATGTGTTCGACAATCTCCACGGCGAACTCTCCACTCTTGTCCATTTTTGACTTTTCACTGTGTGCAGCATGAGCACTATTGACGAAATGAAGGGAGAAAATGGTGAGGAGGATGGTGATACCCAGTCCTAGAAGTCCGAGTTCCCAGACGAATGGAAAGGCGAGGAGGAGGGAGAAGATGGTGCCGGCGATGAACCAAACGAATCGGATGGCACGGTGGTCTAGGCACTGGAAAATGGCTTTTGGGATTTTTCCCGGGATTTTTTCCACGGGATTTTTTTCCGGGATTTTTTTTCCTGCACACAACTAACCGCATAACAATTATGTGCATGTGAAATAATCCTTGACACACAAGCTGATGGAGAGGTCTCCGGATTATCAAAATAGGGGATTGGTTTGTTCAAAACTTCCTTCAAAATAGACTCTTTGACCTCATTCATCACTTCATTAGCCAGCCATCCGCACAGGTACATCTGAAAAATGAACGGTGTACTTTAAAGGCGCAGGTGAAGTCAGGAATGGAAATTTGTAGTCTTTGTAGTCTGATTCAGGCCCCTAGGCTTACCAATGACGCCTGAAGTGTCCAAAAAGTGAGTCCAGCCAGCGTTTGTTCGCCAAGAGTGATCCAGTTCCATGTCATGTAGTCGTTTTTTGTTCTCTGGAAATTAGAAAAAGAGTTTAAAGGCACAAGAAGATAATTTCCGAATTTCTTCCAAAAACTACCCATTTTTCTCCCAGAATCACCATTTTTTGACCTAAAATCCGAGAAAACCATGTTTAGGGATCGAAAATCGCGTGATTTGAAGTTTTTCCTCCCAAAGAAAACTATATGAACCTTAGCTCTTCTGACCTGATTTTCCGGCCACAAAACGATTTTTTTGAGTCGAAAAATCAGATTTTCAGAGTTTCTATGTGGAAAAATTGGCACAAAAATCGATTTTCTATATTTCTGGACGCCAATAATAAGCTTTTTTGGTTCAAAAACTATAAATTCGGAGTTTTTTAGTCGAAAAATATATAAATCCGATCAAAAATCCAAAGTTTTGAGCACGCTCACGAGACGAGGCGACAGGCCGTCAGAAAATGACCACCCTGTTTTCTAATTCCAAAAATTTATTTTTATATCACTGGAAAGCCCTGCAAATTCTCCACATAATGGTCCAAAAACTGAGTTTCTAGCTCAAGTTTGAAGCGAGTTATGCGCCTTTAAAGTTGGAGGTGGGAGAGTGAGAGACGGCAGAGAAAACGAGTGTCTCGTTCTCTGCCGTCTCCTTGTGTAGTGTCCGAGTCACCCCCCCCCCCCCCTCCCCCCGTTCCCTCGGGGAGAGGGAGGTGGGCGCCGCCGCTTTTATCCTCGCCCTCTGCCCCAGCGCCGATTGTTGTCCCTGTGGCCTAGTGGCTAGCGCTCTTGTTTTGAAAATATCAGTCGAGGGTTCGATTCCGCGAGGGTGAATAATTTTTTTTCTTTTTTGCTTTGACTCTCCAATGACTTCTAGGAGTCAAATTCACCCAATTTTGCAGACTAAATCCCCTCTGCGCCTTTAAAATTACCTGTAGCGTATTAAAAGCGAACGACATTCCCAATCCATACGAACACAATTCAATAGCCCTGGGAATCGATAAAACGATGACCAGTAACAACATCCTGGGGTGTTTTGGGAGGTAATTCATCAATTTTCCAATTCCACTAAACGAAATTTTGTGCGTTCCCTCCTCATTTTCCGCTATCACAGAGCCAACGAAATTGTGTTCGTGCTCCTGAAGAATCGTGGAGTTTGGCTCGATAATCTCCACATTCCGACTCTTTTTCTTCATTTTTGCGGCTCTCCGGAGCTCCTCACGCTCCCAATCCTTCTTCGAACTCTGCTCAACTTCTTGACTTTTTGCCAGTTTCGCGTAGATTCCTCCGAGGGAAATGAGCTCATCGTGTTTCCCGATTTCGGCGGTTTTACCTTGATCCAGGACGTAGATTCGGTCAACGTTCTTGAGACTGCTTAGACGATGGGCGATGATGATGGTGGTCCTACCCTCAGACGCTTTTGTTAGGGCTTTCTGGAATTTTTTATTTTCGAAAATTTTAGATAATGAAGGTACTGGAGATCTCCTTATTTGACCAGAAACAATGTTTTTGCACAATAGGTTAGCAAGATAGTATAGAAATTTTTTTCAAATTCACTCCAAAATTGCCCAAAAACCACCTAAAAACAAAAATTTTTTTGAATTTTCTCAATTTTTGAATCGCTAAAAAGCCCTTGAAAATCCATGTAAAACCATCCAAAAACCAGCTTGAAATCTCTATTTTCAAGCGAGTTACCCGCCTTCAAAGTTGAAGCCTAGAGAGTAAGAGACGACAGAGAACACGACTGTCTCTTTCTCTGGCGTCTCCCACCCTCTTTTCTAGGGGCGTAACTCTCTTCAAAATTAAGTGTTTTATATGATTTTTTCGACCATTTTGTAGAGAATTTTCAGGGGTTTTCAGGGATATGTGGTTCGGGAAAAACGCAGGAATTTAATTTTTTTTATAGTAGATTTTCAAAAAGATTGATTTTTTTTTCGAAAAATAGATCAGTATATCGGGTCGAAAGATTGAATTTTTATTTTCTCGTGGTCCCTTTTTTGCCCGTTTTTTCTCTAGGAGGAACTGGATCAAAAGAACTTGAACATTTGAATTTTTTTTCTAAAAATTCTTTTCTCCAAAAAATTCAGATTTTATACCGTCAGAAAGGCCTTGAAATTCCCCACAAAATCGTCAAAAAGCCACCTCAAAAACTCAATTTTTAAGCGAGTTATGCGCCTTTGAAGTTCGAGGCGAGAGAGTGAGAGACGGCAGAGAAATCGACTGTCTTGTTCTCTGCCGTCTCCCACTCTCGCCTCCAACTTTAAAGGCGCATAACTCCCTTCAAAATGGAGCTTTCGAGCTGATTTTTGGACCATTCTAACCGTTGGGATACTGGCTTCAAGAAGAAATATTTTTTGGGATTCTAGGCCACGGCCGCGAAAAGGTCGGCCACCAAGCTTCCGGAGGCCATAACTCGCTTCAAAATAGAGATTTTGAGCCCGATTTTTGGGCCATTTTGTAGGGAATTTTAAGGACTTTAAAGTGGTAACAAAATAAAATTATTTTTTGAAAAAAAAATTTTTGTGAAAAAAACTATATGGTTGAATTTCTTTCGAAAATCACCTAAGATACTGCAAAACTGAAAAAAAAACTCACATTAACAATATGCTCATTATGTGAGTCCAACGCACTGGTGGCCTCATCCAACAACAGTATCGATGGGGATGTTACCAGAGCTCTTGCAATACAAATCCTCTGTTTCTGTCCTCCAGACAGTTGTACCCCTCCAGGACCCAACCGGGTCTCATAACCATTCTCCAACTTCTCAATGAATCCAGAAGCATTTGCTATCTCTGCAGCCGTCTCAATCGTTTTCCGATCCACATTTCTTCCCAATCGGATATTCTCCATAATGGTCCCATCGAAAAGTTTCGGCTCCTGTTGAACCACTCCAATTTGTTGCCTCAAACACTTTGCATCCAACATATCAATGTTTTGTCCGTCGATCAATATTTCTCCCTCACTGGCTCGGTAGAGTTTGGTGAGGAGTCCGATGGAGGTGCTCTTTCCACAGCCACTGGTGCCGACGAGAGCAATGGTTTGGCCGGGGAGCACGGTTAGGGAGAGACCCTGGAAGAATAGAGGTCAGAGAAAAAAAGAAAAAAAAAAGAAAAAAAATTTGACCCCAACCGGAATCGAACCCAAGCCCGAAATTTCCAAAACAAGGGCGCTAACCACTAAGCCACAGAGGCAGCAATAGCCTAGGGCGCTGAGGTCGTAGATAATGCGGCGGCGCCCACCTCCCCCTCCCAGGGGCCCTGGGGGGGGGGGGGGGTGGGGGGGGAGGGGTGACTGTGACACTACGCAAGGAGGCGGCAGAGAAGCAGACAGTCGTCATCTCTGCGTCTCTCACTCTCTCCCTAGGGTCATAACTCGCTCCAAAATTGAGCTGGTAACTACCTTTTTGGACCGTTTTGTATAGAATTCTCAGGGCTTTTCAGTGATATGAAGAAATACGTTTCTTTTTTTTTTAATTTTTTGCTTCGCATCAGAGCGCACTTCCTGACTCCCAGTTCAAAGGCGCATGGTGTGTCAGCAGCTAGGTTTTGGGGCATTTTGAGTCAAAAAAGGCTAATATGGTCTAAATTTTTGTCATTTTGATCCGAATTCGAATCATTTTAGCTAAATTTGGATGGTATTTAGCTGGATTATGGGCTAGGAATGTCTAACCGCAGTTTAAAGGTGCATGGTGCATTTTCAGCTAGTTGTGGACCATTTTCTACCGTTTTTAGTCGGTTTTTGGTGGTTTTTTCAGAGAAAAAGGCCATTCTTGGCTGAATTTAGGCTATTTAGAGCCAAAATCCAGTCGATTTCAGTCAAATCTGGCTCATTTCGAGTCAGTTTTAGATCATTTCAGACCAAACCAATTTGGACCATTTTCAGTCAGTGTTAGGCCGTTTCCAGACAAAATCAGGTCAGTTTAGACCATTTTGGACCCGATTCAGATAATTTCAGACCGTTCCCAGCGAATTTTGGGCTTTTTTTGCTAAATTTGACCGATTTTGAGCCAAAATCGGAGCGTTTTCAGCTAAATCCTTCAAAACCATTTTCAGTTAGTTTGGCCAATTCTTAGTCAAAATTTGGAGCATTTTCGCTAATTTTTAGGTCACTTTTGAGCCATTTTTCGCTCGTTTTCAGTCATTTTTTTTTTCAAATTCTTCCCATTTTCTCAAAATTTTGTCATAACATTTCTCCAGTTTTCCCAAACTCCCAAGCCAAAACCCCCCGTTCCCAGACCATAAAACTCATCGATTCCTTTGATTTTTTCTATTTTCCCATCCCTCCTCCCGATCTCAAATTGTCCATAAAAGCGCCCCCTCTAACCCATTTTTTCCATTTTTTTCCAAATTTTTTGAGAAAAAAAGAAAAAAAAATGAAAATTCATGTTCTGCTCCTCTTGTGCCTAGCCACCCCAATCACCGCTCAATATGACATGTTCACCTTCAACATGTCCTTCTTCTGCGGTCATAATCATCAGTACAACTACGATGCGACGTTCAATATTCGTGACTGGGACGAGGAGAAATCGATTCAGGCGAGGGGATTTCGGTGTCTTTGGGCCTCTAGAGGTCTAGTGCTACCTCGATTAGGGATTAGAAAAAAAGCAAAAAAAAAAAATTTGACGCCGGTGGGAATCGAACTTGACCACCAAAATTTGGAAAACGAGAGCGCTAGCCACTGCGCCACGGGCGCAGGAGGCAGCGGCGGCGCCCACCGGGAGGGGGCAGAGAAGCAGACACTCGTTTTCTCTGCCGTCTCTCACTCTCTCGCCTCCAACTTTAACGACGCATAACTAGCTCCAAAATTGAGCTAGAAAGTTCGTTTTTTGACCGTTTTGTAGAGAGTTTCAAGGGCTTTCCAGTGTTATGAAAATAAACTTTTTCTGGAAACTGGAAAAAAATTTGATCAGCTCCAAATTTCGTAAATTTGACACCATTAGAAAGCCCGGGAAAGTCTCTACAAAACTGCCCAAAATTCAGCTGAAAAGCTCAATTTTGAAGGGAGTTATGAGTCTTTGAAGTTTGGTGGCCAAACTTTCCGTGGCCGTGGCCTAGAATTCCAATATTGCTTCCGCCACGAAGTCCATATAACAACGGTGACATTGGTTCAAAAACGAAGTTTCTGGCTCAGTTTTGAAGCGAGTTATGCGTCTTCAAAGTTGGTGGTGAGAGACTCCAGAGAAGCAGACAGTCGTTTTCTCTGCGCCTCTCCGTCTCTGGCCTCCACTTTTAAAGGCGCATAACTCGCATCAAAAAAGAGCTTTTGAGCTGGTTTTTGGATGATTTTGACCGTCTTGCCTCTGGCTATACGGTGGTGAAAATTCTAGGCCATGGCCTAAAAAAAGTTAGGCCACCAACGGGCTGATTTTTCTACATGCGCCTTCAAGGTTTCTGTTTCTATTTCCATTGGCCTAGTTTTCCAAATTCTGGATTTCTAGGCCACCACATTAAAAAAGTTAGGCCACCATGAAAATTTCAGAGCACCCCCATCGGAAAGGCTCAGGGCACCGCCATACAAGGGATCACCTCCCTCTCCCTCACCGGAATCTACGAGGCAGATCCCTCAAAGGCCCCAATGTGGGAGCCAATTGTTGAAATGAAGCACTCTTGTGTCACCAAAAACAAGGGCTTCAACACTCTCACCCTTCAATTTGCTCCGTCACCGGCTCTTCGTGACAAGACCCGGTACATTTACAAGTACTACCTGGATATCACTGACAAAAAGGGAAATCGGGTCATTGATGCCGAAATTACCAAAGTTGGAAATAATAAATGAGGGTTTTCTCGTTATTTTTTCAATAAAATTTTGTGGATTATTGAAGTTTTTCTGTTTTTGTTCAATAGAGCACGTTTGGTGAGCGAAAAACAGTTTTTTCCACGAAAAAATCGATAATTTCAGGTGACAGCGTGGCAAGCGCGCTCTATTGTGATTTATTGACTTTTTTTTTTCAAAAACGCGTGCGCCGCAACTGCGCTTCATCGCAAAGTGACGTATTTCAGCCGAATTTTTTTTCGAAAATCCGCAATAATTTCAGGCGAGCGCGTGGCAAGCGCGCTCTATTAGTAGTTAATCGGCGATTCATTGATCTTTCGATATTTTTTCTCAAAAACGTGCACACTGCAAGAACGCTCCACTAAAAAAAAGCGAAAAGACAAAAAGTCGCAAAAGGGCGCACTTGCTGAGCGCGCTAAATTTCTTTTTTTTTTTTCAATGAAAAAATCAATAATTTCAAACGATCGCGTGGCAAGCGCGCTCTATTGAAATTTGTCGGCGATTAATTGACTTTACGATTTTTTTTTTCAAAAAAGCGCGAGCCACAACTGCGCTCTGCTGAAAAAAAAAGCGAAAAGCCAAAAAATTGCAACACAGCGCACTTTCTGGCTTTTTTCGGAGAAAAAAATCGATGTTTTCAGGCGACCGCGTGGCAAGCGCGCTCTATTGTGATTTTTCGGCGATATACTGATTTTTTTTCAAAAACGCGCGTGCGGCAAGCGCGCCCCGTGGAAAAATCACCGAAACACCGAAAACGAGCGCAAAACTCTTTTCTCTCGATGATTTATTGATTTAAATCTCAAAAAAGGTCAAAATGCGCCCGCTGTCGAAAAATCCCCAAAGTGGCCTAGTTTTCATGGCCTTGAAACCCCCAATTACCTAAACCAGTAGCAAATTCGAATTCCCCACCCAAAACTACCCCAAGCTCCGTTTTCTCTGCGTCTCTATCTCCAATTTCATATTTTCGGGTTACTGTAGTTTGGTTTCTGTGCCAACACCGAGACACCCTCACGCCAAAATGCAGAAATCGCTAAAAACACGCGGAAAGGGTCTAGATAGGGGTAAAAAGGGTCGAGGAATACGGATTTTTGGTTGAAATTTTCCCAAAATGAACCCCCGTGGAAAAACTGCGCTCCACTGAGAACCTCACCTGTAGGACCTCCTTATCCCTCGTCGCATATTTGAATCGGACATTTTTGAATTCGATGTTTCCTTTCGCCGAAAAAACCTTCGATTCACCCTCTTTTCCCTCGGATTTCGGTGCCGATTCGATGGTTTTGTACAGTAATTGGAAGGATGTGGCCGCCCGTTGAAGGGAGGACATATGAGGGCCGAGGAGTCCCAAAAAGTATCCTGTCACACAAATTGTGTTGACAATTAGGATGACATCACCAGCTTTTTTGATTTCTCCTTCGAAGTACAGACGGCAACCAAAGCTGAAAAATCGGAAAATTGGGGCAAACGCGCTCCACTGCGAATTTTGAGATTTTTGCGGAAAATAGTTATTTTCAGCGGTTTTTAGTGGGGTTTGAAGCTGAAAATGGGTATTTTAATTCAAAAAAAGGATTTTAGAAAGCTGGGGATTCTTTTTTTGAATTAAAAATTGTTGCAAACGCGCTCCACTGCTACTCCCGTGATTTTACCGAAAAACGCCCATTTTTAGGGGTTTTTTTCAGCTGAAAATGGGTTTTTTAAATCAAAAATAGGGTTTTTTACACTGAGAAAGCTGAGAAAACAAATCCAATTTTGATGTGGAAGACCGCTAAATTTTTGAAAATCCAATTACGAAATTTAAGCCAAAAACCTTGGTTTTAGGACTGAAATTCTAATTTTGAAGTAAGAAAACCCTAATTTTAGACCCAAAAACTCTAATTTTGAGGCCTAAAAACCCTAAATTCAGGCCCGAAACCCCTATCCCCCACCCCCCAAAAAAACTCACAACAAGGAAATTCCAGTGATGAAATAGATGACAAAAAGTGCCAGTCCATCGAAAAATCCGGCCCAAAATGTGGATTTATTGTACAATTTTTTGATCTCCTCGTTCACTTTTTTCAGTTTCTGAAATTCAAAAAATCGATTTTTCGAAAAAAAAAAACCTTAAAGGCGCATACCGTAATCATAAAATTCTGTCCGTTACATGCTTGAACTGTTCGGACATTTAGGATGGATTCTTCGATTATTGCATGTGACTGGGTGGATAGGGTCATCAGTTCGCTGTTCGTCAGCTCGTTTACCTGCAATTTTGATCTTGGGTTCGATAAGCCCCGCCCCTTTTTGGTGATATGCCCTTGGGCCCAGAAACAAGAGCCATTTTTTGGTATATAGGGTCTTTCTGGGTTTCGGCTAGCCCCGCCCCTTTGTGGTTTCCTGTCCTGGGTTACTTTAGCTCCGCCCTTTTTGAGTTTTGCCCTTTGGCGTG